TTTGAAATATTCATTATACATGATGTCATAGATAGACAGATATATTGGTTTGACGATCCTATTCAAAATGCCCGAATGGTGGTCATTTTTGTGCTAAAAAGTCATCATATATCAAGCATTTCTGGTATTTATGGATGGATTTCGTTCAAACTTGGTACATACATTAGACGGGTTCCTGATGCACGTTATTTTATTTTTCAGATTGGATTCAAAATGGCTGACTGACGGCAATTTTGCTTTAATGATTGGGGTTCTAGAGCCATATCTCATAAATGCTTTGACTGATTATATTCAAATTTTATATATTCGTTATACATCATGTTATATATATACATGTATTCAAAATGGCTGATTTTGAATGCTGTTCCAGAGCAATATCTCTCAATATGGACAAGTACTTGTTTGACAATCAGATACAAATGTCAATCATTTTAATGTTAAAAAATTATATTCCAGCTATATTACTATAAACAAAACTATATATCTTAAATTTGATAACTAACGGGTACTGTGCCATGCATGGCTTGTTAACTAATGCATTTGGGTTCAATTCGTGTTGCACGCGTCAAAATTGTAATTAGTAGTACACAGTGAACTATTTAGAGGATATTCCATGCATCAACATTATATGTAGTGTTACACGTATTGAAACTAAACAACATATTTCTTTCAAGTACGGCACAGTGATCTAATTCAAGATCTAAGTCAAGCAACGCAATATACAGACCATTACAACAATATTAAATGACACTCTGTTGGTCTCACGCAGTTGTTTCGCAATTTTATGATTTACTGTAGTATATTGATTGATTTGATTTTGAAAGTATATTATTTCAATAAAATATTCTGATAATTTGCATATTTTACGCGCATATAATTTACCTAATTTCATGTCTTTCCTGCTATGAATCTCATAGGGATGCAAATGTAATTCATTGCTGAGGTACTTTTTCTGCACGATGATTTATACACCTAATTGTTTTTGACATTTAATGGATTTAAGACTAATCATGGTAAAATCAAGCTAGAGTTTACAACTTTTTCTTGGTAGCCATACGACTACAGTCTACATGTTACATGTTATGTTATGTAACGTTTTGTGTATAGACAAACAATGTCCCTAGACAAGTGGTTATAGTATATACTAGAATGCAATGAAGAGCACAAACCCCGCCAAGCAGTCCAGTGGAAATTCAGAAGAAAAAAAAAACCTAAAAACAGGTCAAGAGGCATTTTTGGGTAAAAATCGGGAACATGACTTTTTAGCATATTTCGGGTGTGCTGAACCCGATAAGCCCGGTTCCCAGGCGAAATTTTGAGTTTTTAAAGGTCTAATTTGCATAAACTAAATGGCCGCCAATTTTTAGATTTTCTTCAATATCCTCATAACTAGGCAAGCAAATACAACATATGAAGCGTCCATACCTATGTTTTCAGGGTCAGGGAATATGATGAAAACATTTTTGATCTAATAAGCATTACACAATCGTCATAAATATGCAAATCAGCTGCCGCCATTACTGAAAAATAGTTTTTCTCAAATATCTCTAACTAAGTAAGTAAACGTGTCAAATCAGATGTCTTTACCTAGGTTTTCAGGGTCAGGGAATATGAAAAAACAATTTTGATCTAATCAGTATTACATAATCCTCGTAAGTATGCAAATTAGTGGCCGCCATTACTAAAAATTCGTTTTTCTTCAATATCTCAGTAACTGAGTAAGATAATTTGCCAAATGAAATGTCTCTACCCAAGTTTTCAGGGTAAGGAAATTTGATAAACACATTTTTCTAACTTTCCCCCAAAACACTGAAATGATCAGACCAAAGTTGAATGAACTGTTCATCAGACTAGATCATATTCATACAGACAGCTTGATCATCACTACGCTGCTGACATACACACATTGCTGTGCACGGTAACCCCGCCTTGCATCATTTACAACGACGTGTCTTGCATTGTTTTTGACAGGCACACAAAACAATTTCCAAGCAACTTTCTGGAATAGGACTTAATGACATCAAAATGGGCTGCAATCTTGAATCACCACGTTTCCATCCCATGTCGACAGATGCAGGAAGCTCTTGAATCGGCCAATGAGCATTTCTCCATACCATTGTTTGGTAATGTACTCGCATCAAGTGGAAGCAGAGAGCATCACTTGTCAGTGACATCGCCTCTGGTTTACCAGACTTTGCAAACAGTATATGCTTTGCTGCAACAACTGAGTCAGTTTTCTGCACACCATACAATATGCAGACAAATGTTTCGGAAGATCGAATAATCTCTTCTCTGAGTTCCCCTAGTCCCAAGTTAATGAGCAGTTGATGGTGCTCTTTGAAGACTTTCCATGTCGACTTGTTGGTGTGATTTGCAATATAAGATGTGGTGTCACACCCAGTTAATGCATGAAAGGGTAAAAGAGCTGGTGCTGAATCTCTTGGTAGGTTGTTGAACACTGTTGCAATGGGTATGTATCGTGGCTTCTTCGTGGTACCTGACAGCATCCACAGGTGTTCACATTGTGCATGCGGAAAATGTGAAACTAAAAAAGCAAGAACATCTGTATCTCTTGATGATACAACGACGGTATTGAACTGGCTATGCACGGCATGTAACACTAAACGAGTGTCCGCTTCTTCATGATTGGTTCGCAGATTTGTCAACTCTGTTGTTGCCTTTGATGATCTAACTTCAAGTTCCTTTCTAAACCCACCAGCAACTACAACCTCCTTATCGGACGCCTGAGCACACAGCTGTTCAGACAGGAAATTTGCAAGATCTGCTTTGTTGTCAGCAAGTGACAGAAACTTTGTCCATTTTTTTGGAAGAGGCACATCACGACCCCCTTGACCTGGTAGCACCCTTGATTGTTTCTTCCTTGTATCTGTCAAAGACAACATCAACCTGTTCATAGCTAGAAGCAGCCTTCAGTATTATTCTTACATACGTGTCAGCAAAATATCCAAATGTCACTGCCTTGCCAGGCTTTCCCAGGGCAACTACCAGTACTTGTCCATCAATTATAAGGCAAGATGATCTCCCATTAAGTTCAATTGCATCAAGACAGACAACGCTTTCAGTTAACTTGTCTGCCAATGCTGATTTGTTTCCTGTACGAAGGCTTTGATTCATTTCCGCAGGTGATACGGGGACTGGAAGAAGCACATGCTTAAGAACAGATGGCAGGTCAACTGGACGACCTGCCTCGTAGGCAGTAACAAGGCGTTTGAGGATGTTTCTATCCACTATAATGATAGTTCTCTTGTCTTTGTCTTTAGTGTTGCTATTAATTCTGGAATGTTTTCTATATCTTCATCAGCGACCATTGCAGCTACAGTATCGAAATAATTCTTGTCCAATTCTTCAGCT